GTGTGTGTGTGTGTGTGTGTGTGTGTGGCCAGCTCAGCCCACCAGGGGGCGGGGCTGCCCGGCATGTGGTGCTGGGGGATTGAACCGCAGTCCCTGATGCTTTGCTAAGCTTGTTCTAAGTAGGTGCTTTAGACCACTGAGCCATCTCTCCAGCCCTGTGATTTTAAATAATGCCATAAATGTCTTGTATGGTTTGCTTTTTTCTTTTGTACAGATTTTGCAGATCAAATTTCCAAGTTTCAAAGGAAGTGTAGTTAAGAGCTTTGTTTTGATTCAGGGGTGATAGCAAGACAGTATTAATTTGATTAAAATAGTGTCTGTACACCCTTGGAATTTCAGGAAATAAAACTTTTGATACTTCCGTTTTTAAATTAAAAATTTAGGGCTAGGGCTTGAATTCAGGGCCTCACAGGAAACTACCTTCTCCAAACTTTTTTTCTTTGAGGCAGCATTGTGTTGAACTGCCCAGTCTTGTGTCCTCTTGTCTCATCCCCTGCATAGGTGAGCTTATAGCTCAGGTGAATTGCCATACTTCTTTAACTCTTATTTCTACTTGCTTTGTATTCTTCTACATTTAGTATCTTAGTTCTTCAGAGAGTGAATGTGGGAGGTAAAATGAAAGAATAAACTCAATAACTGCTATTTGGGAGAGTAATAGTTTTTGTTTGAAAGTAGTCTGGGATTTTTCGAGATGATGTATTTTTTTTTTTTTTTTACTAAACAGGTCAGTTGACTGATGATTTTATACAAGTATACTTATGTCCTTTCTGATTGTTGTGAGACTTTTTAATGATTATATAAAACTCAGATCATTAAAATGTCATCTTCAATAAATTAGAAAATATTGCAGTATTATACACATAGGGGCTTTATGTATAAGTGGAGGTATTTTACTTTTGATTTAGAAAGGGATCTACAATAGCATTTTTGTAGGTGTATACACTATGTTTTAGTCTATAAATTGTTGAAGTATAAGTGATTTTAGCATCAGTAACCTTGATTGTTTTCTAGTTTACCTTTTGCTGCTAAATGTTTTTTTTTATATTTTTTTAAAATTATTATTTATTTATTTGGTATAGGGTCTCACTACACAGCTGGGACCCAGTGATCCTCCTTTTTTTAAGAAACTATTTTTTTCTTTGTATTTATTTATTTATTGGATACAGGGTCCCACTACGTAGTTCAGATTCATGGTGATTCTCCTGTCTCAGCCTCCCCAGCACTGCGCGCAGGAATTCCAGGGATCGAACCCAGGTTCTTGCACTTGCCAGGCAGGTGCTTAGACTGCCGAACTATCTCCCCAGCCCTCATAGTGTTATAATAAGTGAGAAATGACAAAGTGTAGTGGTGCACTCCTGTAATCCCAGCACTCAAGAAGCTGAGGCAGGAGGATCACTGTGAGTTCAAGACCAACCTGGGGGCCAGCGAGATAGCTCAGCGCCTGCTTAGGCAAGGAGGTTCAATTCCCAGCACCACATGCCATGCCGGCTCTGCCCTCAGGCGCGCTGAGTGGCAACGAAGTCCCAGCATGGTGGCACAAGTCTGTAATCCCAGGGCTGGGGAGGCTGAAAACAGGAGGATCACTCTAAGTCTGACCTGTGTAGTGAGACCCTATATCAAATACATTTTTTTAAAAAAGACCAGCCTGGGTTACAAAGTGAGCTCAAGGTCAGCCTGAACTGGATAATGAGACCCTGTCTCAGAAAAAAAAAAAAAAAAGTGAGAAAAGAAGTCAAAGATGACTGCCTGGTTTCAGGTTTGGGTAACTAGATAGATCATTATTCTACTGTTAACTACCTAGGTTTTAACAGTAAAGTAATGAGTTATGGTTCAGGTAGATTCACTTTGTTTTCTAACTTTCTCCAGGTATCATTATTTAATTTCCTTCTTCTAAAGGATGTTAACAGTATTTTTAAGTAATCCATATTGTTTTGTATAAATCATGACATTTGTGAGCTGAAATTGATGGTCCAGTTTTACTCCCTCATTTTACATAAAGAAAATTGGGTCTAGCAATCCAAATAATAATAATGCGGCCAAGTGAAATGATTAGGAACTTCACAGAATGAGCAATGAATATATAAAGCAGCACTCAGCATTGCTGACCATTAGACAAATGCAACCTAAAGCAACACTGAGATTCCATCTTACCCCAAAAAGGATGGCTATCATCAGGAAATCAAGCAATAACACATTCCAGTGAGGCATTTCTACACTATAGGGCTAGTGGAATGTAAACAATGTAGCCCAACCTCTATAGAAATCAGTATGGAGATTCTTCAAGAAAATTAAAACTACAAATTGCCTTTGATCCACCTATTCCACTTCTAGGTATCTTCCCAAAAGAGAGAAAATACATCATATTACAGTGATACATGGATGCCCACATTCTAGCAGCACAATTCGTAATAGCTAAGTCTTGGAAGCAGCCTATATGTTCATCAACAGATGAATAGATTTTTTTTTTTTTTTTTCCGGAACCAGGGATTGAACTCAGGCCCTTGTACTTGCCAGGGAAGCGCTTATTCCACTGAGCCATCTCCCTGGCCCCAACAGATGAATAGATTTTTAAAATGTGTGTTATGTAAAACACATGGAATACTATCCTGCCATGAAGGGAGATATACTATATTAGAGTCATTTATGGGAAAAATGAATGTACTTTGAGACCGTAATGTTATGTGAAATAAATTAGACATGTGAGCTTAAGTATCACATGGTGTCTCCTAGATGACAAACACGAAGTATAAAGAGTAAGTTCAAAAATAATAGGACGTAGGGAGGCAGATCTTTCTCAGAGGGAAAAGTGATCAAGAGAAGGAGAGGAAGGAAAGGGGATAAAGAAAAGTGACTAAGATGAGTTACGTGGGACTGAGGAGATAGCTCGGTGGCAGCATAAGCCCTGCCTGGCAAGCACAATGTCCTGCGTTTGATCCCCAGTACCAAAACAAAGAAATAAAAGGAAAGTTTATGTAGAGGTACCACCTCCATACAAGAAATGTAAACATTATGTATTGTGAACATGTTCAGACAGGAAGAAATCAAGAATTGGATGGAGGGTGCCTGCAGGGGAGGGAAAGAGGATGAAAGAAAGGAATTAAGATATATTATGGCTCAGTAGTGTCCCAAATTTTCTGATCAAGGAGATTATGGGGCCAAAGGGGAAAGTGATTGATGATGTAAAGTGTGCCTAAGGAGAGTCACCCAGAGAGAAAACATTCTCTCAGGCTTTCA